CCAGTGCTCATCACAACATGTGCCCTCCTTAATACCAGTCACCCTGTTACCCCCTCCCCTCTGAAATCCTCAGTTTGTTTTCCAGGGTCCATAGCGTCTCATAGTTCGTCTCCCTCTCTGATTTCTCCCCCTTCAGGTTTCCCTCCCTTCCCTATGATCCTCCGCGCTATTTTTGCCCATTCTCTAATTGGATTGTATGGTTTCTTACTGTAGAGCTTTGAGAGTTTTTTTTAATATATTCCAGACACTAGACCTTTATTGAATATTTGGTTTGCATTGGGGTGCCTGAGTGGCTCAGTTGGTTAAGTATCCGACGCTTGGTTGCGGCTCAGGTCTTGATCTTGGTTGTGAGATGGAGCCCCAAGTTGGGCTCTGTGCTGGGCATGGAGCCTGCTTAAGATTCTCTCTCTCTCCCTCTCCCTGTGCTCCTCCCTGGCTCTCTTTCTCTAAAAAAAAAAAAGGAAAAAAAAATTTAGTTTGCAGATATTTTCTCCCAGTCTGTAGTTTCTTTTCATCCTCTTAATAGAGTCTTTCACAGAGCAAAAGTTTTTAATTTTGGTGGGGTCCAGTTTTTCCTTTTATGGATGGTACTTTTAGTGTCAAGTTCTTTGCCAGCTTTGAACTAGAATATTTTCCTGTTTTTTTCTTTTGCTTTTTTTTTCTTTTTTAAGATTTTATTTTTAAGCATTCTTTACACCCAGCATGGGCTTGAACTCACAAACCCAAGATCAGGAGTCCCATGCTCTACTGACTGAGCCAGCCAAGTGCCACTCCGCTGTGTTTTTTTCTATAAGATCTATAGTTTTACATTTATTTTTTTTAATCTAATTTTTTTTTTTTAAGATTTTATTTATTTGACAGAGAGAGACACAGCGAGAGAGGGAACACAAGCAGGGGGAGTGAGAAAGGGAGAAGCAGGCTTCCTGCTGAGCAGGGAGCCCAGTGCGGGGCTCAGTCCCAGGACCCTGGGATCATGACCTGAACCGAAAGCAGACGTTTAACTGACTGAGCCACCCAGGCGCCCCTATAGTTTTACATTTAAATTAATGATCCATTTGGGGTTAATTTATTTGAGGTATGAGGTTTAGGTTGAAGTTCTTTCTGTGTGTGTGTCAATAGATACCCACTTGCTCTGGCATGATTTGTCAGAGACTATCCTTTCTTCATTGAATTGTCTTTGCACCTTTGTTCAAAATTTGGGCACATTTGGGGCGCCTGGGTAGCTCAGTCGGTTGAGTGTCTGCCTTTGGCTCATGATCCCGGGGTCCTGGGATTGAGCCCCGCATTGGGCTCCCTGCTCAGTGGGGAGCCTGCCTTTCCCTCTGCCGCTCCGCCTGCTTGTGTTCCTTCTCTGTCTCTCTCTCTCTCTGTGTCAAAGAAATAAAATATTTTTAAAAAATTGGGCACATTTGTGTGGGTCTGTATTACTCTGCTAGGGCTGCCATAACAAAATACCACAGACTGGGTGGCTTAAACAGATTAATTTTCTGACAGTTCTGGAGGCTTGAAGTCCAAGATCAAGGTGCCAGCAGGTTTTATTTTTCCTGAGGCCTCTCTTCGTGGTTTGCAGATGTTTGCCTTCTTGTTGTGTCTTCATGTGATCTTTTCTCTGGGTGCTCCTTGTGTTTCTTCCTCTTCTTATAAGGACACCAGTCCATCAGGACTCCACTGTTGCAACTTCATTTAACCTTAATTACCTTCTTAAAGGTCCTGTCTCTAAATATAGTCACATTGGGGTTAGGACTTCAACCTATCGATTTTGAGGGGGTCCCTAACAGGGTCTATTTCTGGGCCCTCCCTTTTGTCCCATCTATCTGGGTGTCTGTCCCTCTGCCAATACCACGCTTTTGAGCTATTTCAGTAAATCTTAGCATTGCTCCCATTTTGTTTTTCTCTTCCAAGATTGTTATATTCTACAAATTGTGCCTTTCCATGTAAATTTTAGCAGAAACTTGTTGGTGGCAAAACTTTACTGAGATTTTGATAGGAAGTACATTAAACATATAGATCAGTTTGGAGAGAATATCTTAGTGTGTTGAGTTTTCCAGTTTAAATGTAATTAGAAATGTGACTGATTTTTTTGTGTTGATCTTGTATCATGTAACCTTACTGAACTGACTAGTTGGCTCTAGGAGGGTTTTTTTTTGTAGAGTCTTTGGGATTTTCTATGTAGACAAACATGTCATCTACAAATAGGGATAGTTCTGTTTCTTCCTTTGCCGTCTGTATGCCTTTTCTTCCTCCCTCATTGCAGTGGCTAAAATTTTTAGTACTGTGTTGAGTAAAAGTGGTAAGTAGGAGCTGACATTGTTGTTGTGTTCAGGAACTTAGGGAAAAAGCCTTCAGTCTTTCACCATGAAGTATGATACTGGCTATAGATTTTTTTAGATGCTCTTTATGAGGTTGAAGGAGTTTTTCTTTTTTTCTAACTTGGTGAGAATTTTTATCAAAAATGGGTGTTGTGGGGTGCCTGGGTGGCTCAGTCAGTTAAGTGTCTGCCTTTGGCTCAGGTCATGATCCCAGGGTCCTATGACTGGACCCCGAGTCAGGCTCCCTGCCCGTCTGGGAGTCCTTCTCTGCCCCTCTCCCTTCTTGTGCTCTCTCTCTCTCAAATAAATCAATGAAATCTTTAAAAAAAAAATGGGTGTTGTATCACAGGACTTTTCTTCTTCAACCTGTTGATATGGTGGATTACATTGATTTTCAAATGTTGCACCATCCCTGCACACCTGGTCTAAGTCCCACTTGATCTTGATATATAAATCTTTTTTTTTTTTTAAAGATTTTATTTATTTATTTGAGAGAGAGCATGAGACGGGGGAGGGTCAGAGGGAGAAGCAGACTCCCCGCTGAGCAGGGAGCCCGATGTGGGACTCGATCCTGGGACTCCAGGATCATGACCTGAGCCGAAGGCAGTCGCTTAACCAACTGAGCCACCCAGGCGCCCTTGATATATAAATCTTTTTATACATTGTTGGGTTTGTTTGCTAATTTTGTTTAAAGTTTTCGCCTCTAAGTTCATGAGAGATCATGGGTCGTGGTTCTCTCTCAATTTATTTGTTTTGAGGTTTTGTCTCTGCCTGATTTGGTAACAAGGTAATACTGGCCTTATAAAATGAGTGAGGAGTGTTCTTTCTTCCAGTTTCCAGAAGAGATTGTGTAAAGCTGGTGTTTGTTTTCTTTCAGTGTTATATAAAGTTCTCAAGTGAAGCCATCTGGGCTGAGGGATTTCTATCTGGAGACCTTTTAAACTACAAAATCCTTTTCTTTAATAGTTAGGAGACAATTCAAGTTATCTATTTTATTTTAATTTGAATTTTGGTCCTTTACTGGATTTTCTTTAAGTTGTCCTTTTTTTCCCCCTTTTTTAAGTTGTTGAGTATTTTAGTGTATAGTTGTTTGTGGTATTCCCTTATGATGCCTCTGATGGTTTGAGGATTTATAGCGATAACCCCCTTTTCATTCCTGTTTCATTCCTGTCCTTTTTTCTTTATCAGACTTAATAGAGATTTATTGATTTCACTGATTTTTTTTTTAAAGAACTGGTATTGGTTTCATTGATTTTTCTCTATTTTTCTATTTTCAGTTTTACTGACTTTGGATGTTATCTTTATTATTTCCTTACTTTGCTTGCTTTAGGATTATTTTGCTCTTTTGCTAGGTTCTTGAGCTGGGAACTTAGATTATTGATTTGAGACTTTTCCTCTTACATATTCATTTAGTACTGTATGTATCCCTCTTAGCACTGCTTTAGCCATGAATTTTGATTTGTTGTGTTTTCATTTTCATGGCAATTCTGAGTGTTTTTTAAGTATATTGTTTAATTTTTAACTGTTTCCTATTGTCTTTCTGTTACCGATTTCTAGTTTGATTCCAATGTGATCTGAGAATGTACTATGTGTTACTCCAGTTATTTTAAATGTATTGCAGTTTGTGACCCAGGATGTGGTCCAGCTAGGTGACTGTTCCATGAATGCTTGAAAAGAATTTGTATTCTGAAATAGTTTGGTGGAGTGTTCTCTAGACGTCAGTTTGATAACGTTTGTTGATGTTGTTCAGTTCTTCTTTATCTTGGCTAATTTTCTACTGGTAGTTCTTGAAATTGCTGACAATGGACTGTTGAAATCCCCACTATAATTATGGGTTTTTCTATTTCTCTTTTATTTCTATCATTTTTTTCTTCATGTATTTAGAAACTCTATTGTTCGTTGCATACGTAATTCATGTCACTATGTCTTCTTGGTGGATTGACCCTTTTATTATGTAATGTTTTTCTTTCTCCCTAGTAATTTTTTTTGCTCTGAAGTCTGTCATATAACCACTCATGCTTGCTTTTTTTTTAATTAATGTTAACAAGATATATTTTTCTCCATCCTTTTATTTTCAACCTTCCTATGTTGTATTTGAACTGAGTTTCATATAGAAAGCATATAGTTGGATGCGTGTTTTTATATTCACTCTGCAGTCTCTGTCTTTTGATTGGTATATTTAGACCATTTACATTTGAAGCAATTACTGATTTATTAGGACTTAAATCACCTATTTTATTATTTGTTTTCTGTTCATTTTCTCCATTTCTCATTCCTTTTTTTCCCCCTTTGGCTTCCTGTGGGCTGCTTGAACATGTTTTAAGATTCTATTTTGTTTTATTTATATAATTTTTTTTAGTGTATTTTGTATAGTTTTCTTAGTGGTTGCTTTAGAATTGAAGTTTTCATTAGCAGTAACTGCTGCTACACTTTGAACATTTATAATGTGCTAAGTATTACAAGAATTTTATAAGTTTTGTGTCTTTGTAATCTTTACAGAAACCCCATGAAGCCTCATTTTATACCTGATGCTCAGGTTAATTAATTTGCCCAATCAGACAGTTATTAAATTGGTGGGCAAACCTAGATCTAACTCCGAAGTTCATGGCTTTAACCGTAATACTCATTAATGTTAATTTTACAATAGAGGTTTTACATCAAAATTGTAATGTATTTTATCTCATTTCCTAGGTTTTGATGATGATGGTTCAGAATTTCATGAACATGTATTTCTGGATAAACACCTGAAAGATTTTCCAAAACAAGGACCCATTCGCCACTTCATGGAGCTGGTGACCTGTGGCCTTTCCAAAAACCCATACCTGAGTGTTAAACAGAAGATTGAACACATAGAGTGGTTTAGAAATTATTTTAATGAAAAACAAGACATTCTAAAAGAAAGTGGCATACAGTTCAATTGAAGACCATGAAAATTTTTATTTCAAGCTGTTGGTGATGGATATTATAACTAAATAAAATAATTTTACTAGAAGTTTTCTTATGTTGTGTTAATTATTACATCTGATTTGAATGGTATAAATGTTAAATTGCTTAAAAGTATATAATGGTAACTGAAGAATATTCTTGCATGGAGAAAAGTTGTCAACATTCACAGATTCAACTAGTAATTCTTAAGAAGAATATTTTAGAGTTAGTAATAAGTTTAAGACAACTTCCTCTAATCTTTCTTTTCAGTGACTATACTTCTTTGAAATATAATTATTAGCCACATATCTGATGACAACAGAGCGCTGTAACAGTTGAGATGATTTATAGACAGGTTTGTATGTACTGACTATATTATACACATATATTTTTATATATTTGTATATATACATATTTATATATCTTTATATATTTCACCCTAAATTAACTACCCTTGTCTAAGTCTGGGTCACCAACGAGAAGTAACCGTGTAGAAATAAGCAGCTTAGGGGCGCCTGGGTGGCTCAGTTTGTTAAGCATCTGCCTTTGGCTCAGGTCATGATCCTAGGGTCCTGGGATCGAACCCTGCATCAGGCTCTCTGCTCCGCGGGAAGCCTGCTTCTCCCTCTCCGACTCCCCCTGCTTGTGTTCCCTCTCTCGCTGTGTCTTTCTGTCAAATAAATAAATAAAATCTTAAAAAAAAAAAAAAAACGGCTTATTCTAACCCCTCTAGTCCTTTAGGTCTTCATGCCAAAGTTAGAACTATTTATTTTCTATTATGGTGCTTAGCAATGTGACTCAAATTCATACAACTCAAAGGAATGAAGATTCTAAAAAACTCAAAACGAATTTAGTTTACAGTGGCCGTAGGCTAGTAGTGTTTTGGGCCCCTGGCATAAGCAAATGAAAATCATATGAAGGAACCTACCATCAACTCAGAATTCAAATTACAAAACACATGAGGAAATAGTGTGATTGGACAGGAGCAGACTCGTAAAGCCTTTAAATATTGGGCTTGGGGCATCTGGGTGGCTCAGTTAAGCATCTGAGTCTTGATTTTGGCACAGGTCATCATCTCGGGGTCGTGAGATCAAGCCCTGTGTCTGTCTCTGCCCTGAGTGTGGAGCCTGCTTGAGATTCCCTCTCTCTCTCTCTCTCTCTCTCAAATAAATATTGGGCTTATCATATACTATGAACTATATGTAAGATAGAGTAAAATATACAGCAGGAGACAATAAAAGTGACTAGATTTTGGAAAAAAAAATTTAGAGAGTGTAACAACAGATTAGATAACAAAAGTAGATCTAAAGAAATCCATATGGGGCACTTGGGTGGCTCAGTCAATTAAGCATCCAACTCTTGATCTAAGCTCAGGTCTTGATCTCAGGGTCGAGAGTGTTGAACCTACTTAAAAAAAAATGCCTGGTGAACCCTACTTAATCCATACATAGTGCAGAGAAGAAAACAGAAAAATATGAAAGAGAGGTAAAGATTGATACAAGAAGGTAACATTTGTTAGGCACCTGGCTGGCTCAGTTGGTAGAGCATTGACTTCATCTCAGAGTCATGAGTTCAAGCCCCATGTTGGGCATGGAGAACCACTTAAAAGAAATTTTTTTTTTAAAGAAGAATATAACATTTGTGCAATCAGATTTCCAGAAGGAGAGAAAAGAAGAAATGGGTCAGAAGCTATCTGTGGATTCTTGATGGGTGAGGATTTTTTATGATTTATGAAAGACATCAAGTCACAGACAGTAATCTCTTGGCCATATATAGAAGCTGCATCCAACAACAAAATACATTCTTTACTAGTACACTGGGGCACCTAAAACTTTTTCGAGTATTTAGTTCACTTATTTTTATCGTAGTTACTGATATATTTGGATTTCTTTTTACTAGCTTTTTTTGTGTATCCTTTTGTATGCTTTGTTGCTTTCTTTTTGGTTACCTTTTCTCATGTCATACTAGTGGAAGAGGGGAATAAAACATAAAATATCTTTAAAACGAGGATTAGGGGGTGCCAGGGTGGCTCAGTCGGTTAAGCATCTGCCTTTGGCTCAGGTCATGATCTCAGGGTCCTGGGATCGAGCCCCACATCTGGCTTCTCGCTCAGCAGGGAGCCTGCTTCTCCCTCTCCCTCTGCGCCTCCCTGCCCCCACTCATGCTCTCTCGCTCGCTCTCTCTGTCTCTCAAATAAATAAAATCTTTAAAAAAAAATGAGGGTGGGGCGCCTGGGTGGCTCAGTCGGTTAAGCGACTGCCTTCGGCTCTGGTCATGATCCCAGAGTCCTGGGATCGAGTCCCACATCAGACCTCTGGCTCGATGGGAAGCCTGCTTCTCCCTCTGACCCTCTCTCATGCTGTGTCTCTCTCTCTCTCAAATAAATAAATAAAATCTTTAAAAAAAGAAAATTAAAAAAATGAGGGTTAAATACATTTGTCAGATAAAAGTAATTGGCTAGCAGCTGACCATTACAATCCTAAAAATGTGCTTTAAGCGAAAAGGACAAATCACAAATTTAAGGTATGAAATATAAGAAGAAATAGTGAGCAAAGAAAGGGGTAAATATGTAAGTCAATTATAAATAATAAAATGTCTTATAGGAGTGATTAAAATATATGACAATAATAGGATATGTGAGGATGCATTTTTTGTTATTTTTTTTTAAGATTTTGAGAAAGAGAGAGGGAGCATGAGTAGGGGGCAGGGGCAGAGGGAGAGGGAGAAGCAGACTCCTCGCTGAGCAGGGAGCCTGATGTAGGACTTGATCCCAGGACCCTGGGATCGTGATCTAAGCTGAGGGCAGATGCTCAACTGAGCCATCCAGGCACCCCGATTTTTATTTATTTTTAAAGATTTTATTTGAGAGAGAGAGATCACGAGCAGGGCGGGGGGAGAGAAGAGGGAGAAACAGACTCCCCGATGAGCAGAGAGCTGAACACGGGGCTCCATGCCAGGACCCTGGGATCATGACCTGAGCCGAAGGCAGATGCTTAACCAACTGAGCCACCCAGGGACCCAGGGTGAATTTTTTTTTTTTTCAAACCAAGTCTTGTCTTTTTTTTTTTAATATTTAATTTATTTATTTGAGAGAGAGAGAGAATGAGAGAGGGCGAGCATGAGATGGGGGAGGGTCAGAGGGAGAAGCAGACTCCCTGCTGAGCAGGGAGCCCGATGCAGGACTCGATCCAGGGACTCCAGGATCATGATGACCTGAGCCAAAGGCAGTCGCTTAACTGAGCCACCCAGGTGCCCCAAGGATGAATTTTTTAAAACGTCAAGTGATAATGCTGTTTGGCAGAGGCACAGCTAAAACAGGAATACCAGAAGTTTGGAAGTAAAGGGAAAAAATGGACAAGTGTTAATCCGGTTGTGGGTATATTCATATCAGAAAAAAATAGTCTGAAAGACATTACTAGAGATTTTTTTAAATGATAATTTAATAACTTAAAGAAATCAGATCTCTATTTTAAAAATCTTCCCAGAGGGGCACCTGGGTGGCTCAGTCGTTAAGCATCTGCCTTCAGCTCAGGTCATGATCCCAGCGTCCTGGGATCGAGCGCCACATCGGGCTCCCTGCTCAGCGGGAAGACTGCTTCTCCCTCTCCCACTCCCCCTGCTTGTGTTCCCTCCCTTGCTGTGTCTCTCTCTGTCAAATAAATAAATCTTTAAAAGAATAAAAAAATAAAAAATAAAAATCTTCCCAGAAAGGGGCACCTGACTGGCTCAATCGGTAGAGCGTGCAACTCTTGATCTCAGGGGTCGGGAGTTCCAGCGCAGAGGTAACTTTAAAAAAAACAAAAAAACAAAAAAACTCAGAAAGAAAGCAACAATTTCAGACTGTCAGGTGAGTTCTAAGCATTCAGAAGGAAAGTAATTCTAATCTTATACAAATTATTCTAAAGCACAGAAAAAGAGCAAACAAACCCCAAATTAATTTCAAGAGACTAGAATTAACAAAGGTTAATCGTAATCATGAAGGGACATTTGAAAAATGCAAAACAACATAGCAAACTAAATCCAGCAACGAATAGGAAAGAAACCACAGTCAAACTGAGTTTATTCCTAGAATGCAAGGGAGGTTTAACAATGGAGAAAAGAGAATTAAAGAATGCAGCCGTGCCTGGGTAGCTCAGTTGGTTAAACTTCTGACTCTTGGTTTTGGCCCGGGTCACGATCTCAGGGTCGTGAAATCGAGCCCCACATGGGAGCCTTCTTAAGAGTCTCTCACCCTTTGCTCCTCCTACCACGCTTGTGCACGCATGCTCTCTCTCTCTCAAAAAAAAGGGGGGGGCAGAAAAAAGTTTTGATAAAATTCAGCAGCCATTTATAATAATTTAAAAAAATCTCGGAAAACTTGGAGTAAAGCCCCCTTAACCTGATAAATGGCATTTACAAAAAACCTATAGCAAACGTCTTACTTTGGTGAATCATGGTGCCATTTCCTTTAAGATGGTAAGTAGACCACATTTCTTTTCAACATTATACTGGTGGAGGTTGCGGTGGAGACACGCCTGGGTTAAGCATCTGACTCTTGGTTCCAGCTCAGGTCATGATGTCAGGGTCATGAGTTGGGAGTCCCACTTGGGCTCCCTGCTCAGCACGAGTCTGCTTGGGATTCTCCCCCTCTCACTCTCCCTCCCCCCTGCTCCTCCCCTCGCTCACACACGCACGTGCATGCTCACTCTCTCGCTCGCTCTCAAAATCTTGAAAAAGGGGGGCATCTGGGTGGCTCAGTGGGTTAAGCGTCTGTCTTCAGCTCAGGTCATGATCTCAGGGTCCTGGGATTGAGCCCCGCATCAGGCTCCCAGCTCAGCGGGGATTCTGCTTCTCCCTCTCTCTGCTCATGCTCTCTCTGTCTCTCTCAAATAAACAAATAAAAATCTTAAAAAAAAAAAAAAAACTATCCTGGGGGCCTAACCTATGTAGTGTAGCAAGAAAAAACATATATAAAAGCTATTAGGATTAGAAATTCATCCTAAAGTAATCCTCAGTGAATCACATCCTCTCCTTGAGTATGGACAGAACCTGAGATTTGCTTCTAGCAAATAGAATATGGCAAAGGTG